TAAGTTAGCCCAAAATTAATGGTCTTTCTGATTGATATCAATAGGAAAAAAGCTGGCAGTTGTACTAAAAAAAGGTTCCCTGTGATTAGGATTTTCGTTATGGAAATCTATTTTATTTGTTTGAAAATTGTGCTTAAATGTGTTTTATTGTACCTTGTGGTACAAAGATTTCAGGGATATATGTACTTTATAGTGGTAATTGAAATGCTCTTTCTCTCTAAATGAGTTTGAGGTGAGAAGGGGATGATAGATGAAGCACAAAAAGCTTTAGAAGAGGCTGAAGCACTAAAAATGGTTTCAATTTCTGAACTTAATAGTGTTATATCTGTAGATGGATTTATATTATTAACTTATACTGTTCTTTTCCTTGATGGTTTGCATTATGACTTATTTGTGGATATTTGTTTTTCCATATCTTCTCAGCTCCCTGCCAGACAGGAGCCTGTTCTGGATTCCTCAAAATACACTGCTGCTGATGTTCGCATTGTGAGTCCTGTATTTCTTTTCTTCAGTATCATAGAAAGGAAAAGTTGACCCTTTTAAGAAAAAACTAGATATGAAAACTTAGGCGTACTGTGACCTTACAAGGAGGATGTGGAATTTAATTTGTGTAATTAATGTATGAACAGCCAATCACCTTCTGTAGGAGATTTCATGCAAATAAGGACACAACCTTTCAAAACTTTTCTAATTAAGGATATGACCTTTTTCCTTAATTGCAAAGGTCATATCCTTTAGAAACTTTGAAAGGCGATAGCCTTAATTAGTAGAGAAAAAAGATCATATCCTTAATTAGAAAAGTTTTGAAAGGTTGTGTCCTTATTTGTACGAAATCTCCTTTGATTTTAGTTAAATTCTCTTTAATCCATTTATAGAGTAATATTTCATCTGCACTAACCATTTTGATGTAATGTTATTTCAGACCGATCAAAAGCTACAGGTTTGTGACATTTGTGGAGCATTTTTGAGTGTTTATGACAGGTACCTTGTTTATCCTCTAGTTCCTGGTCATAACCTTTTATCTTAGCTTTCTGAAGGCTTCGAAAAGTTAGTGTTTGGGGTTTCAAGTGCTTCAGCTTTTGACCCGACAATTATACCTCCTTGTTACCAGCAGGCTTTTGGGCCCAGTTTTACGAGGATAACTTTTGCAGCTACAGAATGTGCATCTTTTTCTGTTTTATGTGCTTGTTGATCTTGCAATTGTTAGATAATAAACATTTAGGAAACTGTACAGTGCAAGCTCCTGCAACTTTTTCTATTGTCTGGGTAAAAGTGTTTTGATTTTTCTTGTTCATTTCAGTGATCGACATTTAGCAGATCATTTTAGAGGCAAACTTCATTTAGGCTATATGCAAATCCGTGATAAACTAGCAGAGCTTCAGGTAAGATTATTTATCTGCTATGGTGGCTTTGCTTTAGGAATTACATTGGGGTAGGAAGTCCTTGCTGTCCAAGATTTTGGTTTTAGAGATTGCCTGAACTTTTCTCCACATGCTATGTCCATTCATCTTTTTTCTTTTTCCCTTTCTATTTTTTTAATAAAATTAATCAGACCTTTATTTACTTCCTTTGCCTATTGGATTCTAGTATAACAGCAAATTAAATGCTTTTGTGCTTAGTAAGTATCTCTATTCTTCTATAGATCTTTTGTCGATGTCCTTAAGTTTGTATTGTGAATATGTTGGTTCAGGTGCTGGTATAATGTTTCACATTCTTCTATAAAGATTCTCAGTTAGTATCAGCTGTGAGTTTTTCTGACCTTGGAGAAGAATATTATGCCCCGTTTTCTAATTTCTTTTGATTGTTTGTAGATGCTGGACTTGAAAACACAGCATTTTCTACATGTCTCTGCATATTCGGTTTAAAATGCATTATGAAATGTCTTGGTTCTCAACCAATTTTGATAGCTCAGTTTTGTCTGCTGAAAGCGGGAAAGAAAATGTAAAATATGAAATCAAATTAGACAGAAAAAGTAGAAGAAATGATTTTGTTCGGGGCATTTTAAGAATAGAGGGAAAAAAGGGCTCTTAAAATCTGATGATAAACCTGATGGATGTAAGGCCTGGTTTGGTCAAGGTAAGCTGCCTATGGATTATGCTTACCATTTAATTCTGACCTAATAGTCTCGTGGTATGTTATATTTAGCTAAATTGAGGAGGCATTTATATTTTTAAAAGAAGCATTCAGCAGCACCTCTTGTTAATTAACTTTTATCAGGAAGAGAGAAACAAGAGCTGCAAACTTGACCAATATGATGAGAAGAGGTAATCCTCACTTTTCTTTGTTCTTTTTTTTCTTTTTTTTTCACTTTTTCCTTTGGATGATATGTAAACCATCAGATAGAGAGGGGATTTTGTGATATCTTTTTTTTTTTGGTGGTGCATAGATCAAAAGAAAGAAGTAGAGATCAGGAGAGAGAATCTAGTTGTGACCAAGACCAAGCTAATAGTCGTGACCGAGGGAGGGATTATGATTGAAGAAGCAGAGATTGTGACTGGTACAATGATCAAGAACGTGGTAGGGATTATGACCGCCCTCAGACTTATGATTCTAGAAGTCACCGTAGGTCACGTTCAAGGTCACATTCCAGGGATTATGATTGTCACAGGTACATTTTTCTCTTTGTTTATGGTTTCTAAAGTTCATTTTCACATCTACTTGTGTATGAGTCTCCTGCCATTATTGGTTCATTTTTGTAATTCTATATGTGTTTGTTTACGTGTCAAATTGATGCTTGTTTGGATTATATGTATGCTTCTGATCATATTCTTCACTTAACTACCTGTAGGTAATTTCATTATTTTCAAAAAGATCTAACTACCTTAGGTAAGTTTTATCAAAGTGGAAATGCGGAATAGAGGGTATAGGTTAGAAAAGTTTTGAATTGCTTGGTAGAATGATTTTCAAACAGGATTTTGTTAAAGGTAGGGCTGTCAGAAGCCATGCCTCTCTCAACAAGTTGAACTCAAAATAATAGTAACCCCAGTTTGTATTTGGTTTCCTTTAGTTAAGTGAGTTGACTTAAACATTATAGTGCTTGGCCTGAGAATTAGCCATTCCATGCTTGTTTAACAATACATCATTAATTTTGTTTTCTGATGACTTTTTTAGCTTGTTGAATTTGAATTTGTGTTAAGTTAATATGCTATTAGTTTTCTAGTGTAAAATGTGCCAAAGCTGACTTTGTGATGGGGTTTTCACCATTGTTTTCAAATTTCATGCTGAACTCTAGCTAATATTTGAGTCCAAGAAGAAGCTGAGTGCAATATAAAGGCCAGGGACAATCAAATTTAATATATTCAAGGATTTGAGCATCCTCTATGGGCTAGATTCTGTCATGCAAGAAACTCTCACCTGACCCTCCACCTTCATTTTTTGATGTTATAAGCTAAATAAGCTAATTATAATTGTTTCTACACTTAAAAAATAGCCAAGACTAGTTCATTTTGGGGTTTTATGATTCTTTTAAACCAACTTTGAGAGAATAAATGAGCTTGAGTTGGAGATTGAGCTCAAGATTTTATGTTTGTCAAGCTTAAGCATGGTATTAGGTGAGTATTGGATTGATTCACTCTAGATAAAACTTAAAAAGTTAAAAGGGTTCACTTGGGTAATTCTTAAATGGGTGCCGAAAAAGGACCTTAACCAAATGTATTGGTGTAGATATGCATGGGGATAAGAGTTCTGTTAAAACATATATATATATATATATATATATATTTTGATCGGCTCTGTTAAAACAAATATTAAATGCCATGATTGGTTTCTAGTATTGTTTCATTAGTTTTGGAATATAGAAATATAGAAATGGCTATAAATCCTGCATGGAAACATAACAATTCAAGGCTTGCGGTTGGCAAACACCAGTAGATTTGAAAGCTGCCTTTGTTTTGTAAATCCTTTAATTTTATCACAAGGAACTTTAGTTTCGTTTGAGCGCGATCATCTGACGAAGAGATGTCATTCCTCAAGTCACTAATATTTTGTTTTATGATGTAACTCTCTCCATGTGTGTTTCTCAGCAAAAGATTTTAGTTCTTTATTACTGGGATTTGAATGCTAACATTCCTTCGGTAACTAATATTTTGTTAGGCTATTTTCCTATCTTTCTTGCTTGAATTTATTAAAAATTTCCATGCTGATATTGATTATTCTTCAACTTTACTCTTGTTTTTAATCAGAAGTGATCGGTACTAGATGATTGTTGCCAGGAAGCAAATGAATATGAAACTGTTCTTGCTTAGGGAAGCAAACACAATTAGAAGTAGTATAACTTGTGTTTGCCCAAATTAATGTTTTTCTTAGTAAGCTTGATAGTTCCTTCTGTGGACGTATCAACATGTTTAATTAAGAGGGTATTTATTACTTGTGACTTGGCTTTGATTTTATTAGGCATATTGCTATTCCAGTTGACAATGACTAAGTTATCTAAAATGACTAAATGAAAATTAATTCAAGGCTGGATGCATGAGAGTAGGAGGTTTGAATTGTTGTTTTTTTGCTTCGAGGGCGTTATAGTAAGTTGTTAAGCAATTGAATGAATATTAAAGAAATTGAGTGGATCTTAGAATTTATTCCCTCCCCTCCAATTTATCTTTTTATCCAAATAAAATCCCTTCACTCCCCAACTTCTTTTGTCTTACTGGTATTTTATTTTCCTTTATAGACTGTTTCGGTTTGAGGAAAATGGAGGGAAGGGAAGGGAGAAAGATTCTTATTTTCACTTATTAAATTAAGTTGTTGAGCTAACAAAATAATTTAAGTGGTTATAATTATTTTTCCTTCCCTTTCTTAAACCAAATAAACTATTAATCCGTTTCTTTTAGCCCAGACAAGCTCGTCCTTTTTGTAAAGACAAACAGATGTGAACCTAAAATGAAAGGAAAATTCTGGAAATGGCTTCTAAGTTTTGTAACTGCTTAGAGCTCTCTATAATTCATTCATTTTTTCAGATTCTTATACACAAGTATTAGTTGACAGATATATATTTAACCAAATAAATCAAAGATTATATCAGAAAAGTGTAGTTTATCTAACACAGCACTGAGTTGCTATGTTAGATTTACATGAAAAAGAAACTGACAAGTACACTTACTCCGTCATATATAAACTTTGTATTACAAAAGAACTAACAAGGATCAAGGGAAAAAATTCAGGTTCTTCAGCACCTTTTTTAGATGCACATTTACAACCAGGTCTCATTCTGGTCCTTTGTTCCGGAATATAAACAATTTGAAAAGCATGATATGCTATGAAGTAATGTGCATGTCATCTACAACCCCTACAATCTCAGCATAATTCCATGTGTTCACTATCTGAGTAAATTGTTATTTGAACCGGCTGTAATGTCCCCTTCTCAGAGATGCTCAAGGTCAAGGGAAACCACCTGGTTCTCCATCTATGATATATAATATAAAGAGTTTATCAAGCTCGAACAACACTCAAATGCAAACCTCCGATCGGATTCATCAAAAATGGAAAAAATATAAAAAACTCGTATGGGGCACCAACGCTAGTAATCTTTTAATTCTCAATCAAAATGATAAATAGATATTTAAAAATATAGTTTCCTTTGTGTGTAAAATGAAGAGTTGTTTAACAAGGGTTATGAGAAATCTACAAAACTAAAAAAAAAAAAAAAACAATGATATTTTGAATTTATTCATGGCTTCACTTAAATAGTATATTGGATTTGAGAAAAATTGAGTGGAGAGAGGGAAGAAAGGTGGAGGATTAAGATTCTGTTTAGTTTTATTTTGGTTTTTGATTTTTAGTTTTGGTTTTCATAATTCTTATAACTATTGAAAACTGAAACTAAAAATTTGTTTAAAACAAATTTTAACACTAACAATTAAAAATATGAACTTGTTTAATAGCAGTAAAATTATTTCCGTTTTTATTTCTTTAATAATCATAAATTTTTATTTCTTTAATAATCATAAAAATATGTTGCAAAAACTCAAAACTAAAATGAGATTTTTGTTTGGAGTTGTAAAATATATTAAAATTAAAACAAAAAACCAATAAGTACAATCATAATCAAGCTTAAACTAACCTTATATTGTCTCCATTTTTGAATGAAAACAAACTAGAATACCATTTAAATTTTTATTTTTTTGGTACATAGAAACAAGGGACTTAATCTATAGCTAAGAGTACAAATAATTCAACTAGCAAATCACATGACTGATGATAAATACCATTTAAATGTGAATTAAGATGGATAGACACAATTAGTTCACAAATCCCATCTCTTTTTTGAATAGAGATACAACACAAATTCAATTGCTCTCTTTCACACAATAAAAAAAGCACAAGAAGAAAAATAAAATGAAATGGTCTCTAGTGGTTTTCACAATTAACTACTTCATAATCATGTCACACACAAATTTTAAAAATTGAAAGATTCTTTTGAATGCCAAAGCAATGTGGGAACTTGTAATACAAAAATCTAGCTTCTTGTGAGTGCACCATTAAAACCTGCAAGGAAAAAAATAAAATCTTCATCAATACATGTAGATGATTATAAGAGATAAAATATAGACTGCAACATCTATATTTAGCACCATTAGCATTATCTTTTTTAGAATAATGACCAATGCTTTCTTCAAAATATTGATTCAGTACTCTGTAGCCATAAAAACAACAAAAATTAATTAATGGTGTAGAAAGCAAGAATGGGCCTAACACATAGATAACAAATTGTTGTATTATTATTATTTTTTCTTTCTTAACAAGAAACATTCAAGCAAAAAGAATAGTACGTGGGTTCTCATATATGCGGTGAGAAATATAGGATTTTATTATTATTATTATTATTATTTTTTGGGATAGATAGAAAGATATGATATGTTTGTAAAGAAAAATTTCTAAGATACTGCCTAAGATGCCAATTATATATAAACACAAGACCATGTTTGTTCACAATGACCATGAATAATACTTAGATAGAGAAACATCACCTAAAATCCCAATCTTGTTCATAGCCATTAATTACGATCATTTTCTTTAGCATCATGATCACTGTTTTCTCCATTGCCGTCTTTACAATTGCGAGCACTCTGTAACCATCAAAACAACTTGTTGAAAGAGGAAAGCAAACACTGCAGTAAAATGGTTTATAATTGAAAGTGCTTCTGTTGATTTGCATAGCAAATTAAAAGAAAAGGAGTTCATCAAATTACCATGACCTTGCACTCTAATTCATTAATCATATCTAGATATGTCTTGGACATTATTAATAGAAGTGGACGCTATTTAAATAAAATAAAACACATAATTAAGGAGATACTTCCTATAATTTAACATTGTCCTTTAACTAGATGATTAAGGAAAAGGTTAAAGAAAAAACTTAAAAAGTTGATAAAAAAATAAAAAAAACATAAGGAAGTCTTTGGAATCATCATCAATGCATACCTTGTCCGTAAACAATTGTTGTATAGTGCTGTTAAGATTACCCTCCCAACTTCTTTCATCTTCAACTTCATCCTCTTCTACAGCTTCATCTTCATCTTCATCTTCATCTTTATTAAAAATATCATCTATTTTTTTCTCTTTATCTTCATCCATATCTTCATCCATATCTTCATCCATATCTTCATCTATATCTCCTGTCAATTTCACTTCTTGTAGCCATGGTGTGCTTAGTTTTCCCTTTGAGAAAATCTGCATATTTGGACACTCTGTAACAATTACCGTTACCAAAGCTGCGAATTTAAAGTTGCAGTCCCCTGAGCAGAAGCTTGCTAGTCTTGGTAAACCTTTAAGTTGCAAACACTCCAATTCAGTGAAAACAATGCCATCGTTCACAGCATCACCCAAACATACGACAATTTCTTCTATCATCTCACAATCGGCTACTTTCATTCCTCGGAGCTGCCCCAAGCTTTTCGCTGTTGAGTATCTCACTAAATTGACAAGTCCATGACACTCAGATACCACTAGAGTCTGCAAATTGTTGAAATATACAGTGGAAGGAACTAAATTCTTCAATCTGCTACATTCCTGCACCTTTAGAGTTTCTAGGTTTCTGAGAATGTCTACTTCAAGTTGGGATTCTTCCTTCCAAAGATGTGTTAACTCATGAAGTTTGGACAATCTTAATTTTCTTAATGGAGTGCGTCCACGCACAGGTTTTTCCTCACCAGTAACTTCTTCACATTGGAATAGTTCATCGAAGAAAGCATCCTTCAGAAGAAGGCTTTCGAGATTGGGCAGGGAGTGGAAGAAGAAAGGAGGAAGAAAAGCCAATTGCTTTGGAAAGCCAAGGAGGTGCAGAACCTTTAGTTTACCAAAATACTCCTCTGGATGATGTCCACACTGTATCTTCATGTTGTCATTCCATTTCACAACCAGGCTTTTTAGACTAGGAAATGTAGCCTGAGAAATTGACACGAGTTGAGAAGGCAATCCAAACTTTAAATAAATCTACTATTCTTTGATAAATTTGTCATTTCTAAGTTATACAATAAATCTTGATTTTGGAAAAAAAAATAATTTTTACGCTTATTTCTAACCATAAAAATTGACTTCCACATTTTTTTGTCATTGAAAAATCACTTCATCTCACATAAACTCATCTATTTTTTCTTTCCTAATTATTGTTTTGTTTTTGCAATTCTTCCATTTTTCTATTAGTCCAATTTCAAGAAACAATAAATTATTATTTAGGTGATTGCTATGTAAAAAAACTTTAATTATATAATCATATAGGTTAACTTCCAGAATATTCTTGTAACAAATTTTTTTAATTTGAAAACTATTATTCACTTGAATTAGATGAAAGACCTGAGTATTAAAATGAAAAAGAATTGATTTTTTAAATAGCTTTTTACTCATGATGGCCAGAAATTAAATTACATGAGCTTACTCCCAATATAGGATTAAGATAACAAAATTTTTGCTAGTATCAGAAAAAATGAGGGCAAAACATTTTTAAATTAGGGTGATCAATTTCTACACGTAGGAATTCAAAATAAGGTTGAGATTTTTTTTACAAGTTCTGATAATTTTGTTTTTTTATCTTCAAAATAAAATAAAATTGACACACAGGGAAAACAAATGAAAATTTTTCTTTATTCTGTCTTCATATATTTACTTTTCCTATTTTCTTTCATTCATTTATTTTAAGAACAAAAATGAAGAGCATGTATTTGTATAAGATATGTCCACTTTTTTCCTTTTGGACTTGATTGTACTTACCTTGCTAATCCAAAACATGAGATGTTGAGATTCCCTTTCAAGTTGGCTGTCTCTATGTGTCATCTCAGTTCTTGAAGCAACTATTTGTGCTCCATGATAGTCGATCACAACTAAACCTTCCAATGATGGCCATTCTGTGATGTGCGTTTGAGGGAAGAAACTCTTGAATTTCGGTAAGAGCCTAAGTATCAGCACTGTCACTTGAGAAAATACAAGCTCGGTGGCCTCTGTTTCCACCAAAGTCGATTGCGTGGCTAGCAGTTTTTGTGATCTGGTATCAAAATTGACTCTTTCAGAGTCAGAAATTTTTCCTAGAGAATCACAATTGGAGCAAAATGTTGCAAGTTGGGGTAGGTCATTAAGTATCAAGGTCTCTAGTTTGGGGAACACTGTCTGGCAAATCTTTTCTTCTTCCACTGTCCCTTCTGTCAATATTACCACTTCCATCATCTCACATCCACTAATCCCGAGTTTTTTAAGCTGCGCAAAACTTTTAAGCATTGAGAATGTAAACAGATATTTCAAATTGGAACAGTTGACCACCTTCAACTTTGTTAAATTTTGGGCAAATGAAGATATTGATAAAAGATGACTGTTCCAAATTTGCTTTGTATTGATTGAGGATAGAGTCAACTTCTTCAAGATAGGAAGCTCAACCTACAAAGAAGTTTTAATTTCAATAAAATTTTTATTTTTGAATTAAGGAAAAGTGTAAAAATGACATGAGAGCATAATCTTGAATTTCATACGATATAAATTTTGATATAGAAAAATTTAGTTTACAAGGAATAACAGTACACATGTTCTTATTCTTGCTAAGACTTTGACCTTTGTGCATCAAATACATTTATGTCCATAATTATTGAAGTGATGTAGAAGAGTGGAAATTATACTCTATGAAAGAAGTGTAGTGAAGTCTTGCACTTGTCCAATTTGTGAAAAAATATTAAAACAATAAAAAATAAAAAATAAAACTCACCTCATCGCAAAAAAAGACCTCAATGAAGATATTAGGTTCTTTATTGACAAGCAATTCCTCACTTCTTCCATCAGTTGTCTCTTTCTCTTGCTCACTTGAAAATTTAAAAGTGAATCTAACCATCTTTAGACAATCCTTTACAATAATTTTCTCCAGCATTGGAAACTTGAGGGTCTTACTTCCCACATAGAAACTTGACAACTTGGAGCAAGACTCTAATGAAATGGACTCTAGTTGTGGGAAAAGTATTGAGTCAGATTCAACTACCTCTCCAACTCTTGTATCCATGATCACTTGTTCTATTGCTGCACAGTCTTTTATCTTCAAGTTCTTGAGTTGCCCAAGGCGCAATACCATGGAGGGGGTTAGAAGGTAGCTCAAGCTGCTACAATTGTTAACTTCTAGAGATTGAAGCTTTTTGAAAGGTAATATTAATTCTTCCGAATTCTTTTTCCAAATTTGAATTAACTCAGAAGACTCGGAGAGTGTCAAACTTTCAAACCCAAAGTATCCAACCTATAAAACCCAATAGATTAATTATCTTGGTATAACACAAAACCCAATAACAATAATAATGATATTAATCAAAGAAAGAAAATACATTAATAACTCTATTTAGTTAATCACAAAAATCAAATTGTAGAAATATACAAAAATATTCCTTTTAAGTTTTTGAAATTACTGTTCTTCCCTCCCATTACTACACTAATGTCTATATGATTATTAAATTAAGGATTATAGAAAATGAATGATCAACCCTTGGTTCTTTTAATGTACATTAGATTTACTAAGTGAAAGTGAAGCCGCCATCAACTGACCTTGTAAGCTCTTCTTCTAATCCCCTTACTGTAAGTGCTCCTATTCCTTGTCTTTGAGAAAGTTCAAACAAGAGAGAATGGCTAGCCTCTCAACCATCCAGAAGGAAGAAAGTAGACCTATGCAATTCTCTACCTTTCACTCTAAACTATCCCATACGATCCCAACAAAAAACTTATTTAAAAAAGTTTTCTGAAATTATATTATATTAACATGTTCTTCTATTTCACTAGATCTAGTACCATTAAGTAATGAAGACTTAATATATAATGATCAAAAAACACAAGGAAATCATTTGAATTAATGTGGGTACCTTTTGAGTGAATAAGTCCTGTATTGTGCTGTCAAGATCGCCTGCCCAGTGTCTTTTCTCTTCATCATTTGTCCATTGAACATTTTGTAATTCTTTTGTTATTGTCTTTCCCATGGAAAAATATTTCATCTGTGGACATCCTATCACAATTGCTTCTTTCAAAGATGGGAACTCAAAGTCACACCTCCTTGTGCAAAAGCTTGAAAGTTTGGGAAGACCGCGAAGTTGCAAAGACTTGAGTTGGCTAAAGACAATGACATCCTTCACATTATCTTCCAAGCATTTGACAATTTCTTCCACCAAGTCACAATCAGTTATGCTCATTCTTTCCAGCTGTTCCAAGCTTTTGGCAGTTGAGTAACTCACTAAATTTTCAAGTCCATGACATTCTGATATTTCTAGAGTCTGCAGGTTCACAAAAGATCACCAATTTGATACACTCAAGCACCTCTAGACTTCTCAAGTTGTAGAAAATCAATTTGAGGTCAGATTCTTCCTTCCAAAGATGCATTAACCCATTAAGTTTCGATAATTTTAATTCTCTTAACCGAGGGGGCGCATCTGTAGTTCTTCCCTCACTACGAAGTCTTACACATTGGAATATTTCATGAAAGGAAGCTTCACTCACATTCAGCTTCTCAAGACTGGGTAGTGTCTGGAAGAAGAAATTAAAAGATCGAAGAAGAGCTGAGCAATTTTGGAATTGGAGTTTAAAATCTTTTAGTTTGGGAAAATAGGCCCCTGGATATTGACCACGCCATATCTCCTTCATGTTGTCATTCTGTTGAAATTTTAGTTCTTCTAGACAGGAGAACGAATCCTGACAAATTGAAAAATACAATGTGTTATAAATTGAATAAAAAAAATACAAAATAGGAAAAGGGTATTGTATACAATACAAATCCTTTGTATAACGTGTTTTGCGATTAAGCTGCATAACCCTAAAGCATGCCATCTGTCCTATGTCAGAGATTTTTGAAATCTCATGAGTGTGTGTTTTTGGACCATTGTGCAGTTGAGGGTATGTTATGACTGCCTCTGGCATGTGATTAAACATGTTATTTAAAGTGGCACTGTGATATGTCATATTGATATGAGATACTTTCATGTCTAAAATGTTTCACACCTATCTATATTCTATTTATATTATGTCTTGACTATATTGAGACCTATTTATATGTGAGTTAACTAACCTATACTTACTAACAAGCTGCATTTGCGCTATTTTTTGAAACATCTGCCAAATTGATTAGCCTGAACTCTAAACAAGTAAAAAAAAATGATTTCTAAACTTCAAGAAAAGGCAGTTATATATCACTTGTCAAAACTTAAACCCAAGCCAACATTTACCTAATAGCAATACACATTTACAAGAA